AAGATCAGCGGCTTCCGGATCAGGAGCCCTGCAGGTAGCCCTGGTCTTCCAAGCAGAGAGAGAGAGCTGGAGAGTGGAGAAGGCAAATGAGGGGGGCAGGCTAAGAGGAAGAAATTGTTTGTTCCACCCCTAGGGGTGTCTCAGGACCACGAAGAGGGTGCGGGTCCTCTGGGCCACACCCGCCGCTTTGGCCAGTTCTGGCTGGTGACCCTGAAGGACCCGCCCCAGACAGGGCCTTGGGAGATCCAGATCACGGCTGAGGGCGCCCCTCGCGTGAGAGTGCAAGGTAAGGAGCGGGTACCAGGGCCGGAACCTGGGTAGGAGGGCAGTGCGGTCACAGGGGTCTCTGCGCTCTCCTTCCCCCAGCCCAGACTGCCCTTGACTTCCTCTTCCACTTTGGGACCCCCATGGAGGACGGACCCCACCCCGGCCTCTACCCGCTAGCTCAGCCAGTTGCAGGTATGTTTATTCCCAGCGTGCCTAGTTCATTATGCAAATATATACGCGCACACAGGCCTGTATTTACTCCGATAGGTACGCAGCGCAGCTTTTTATTGAGCAAATAGCGCTAACCTTGAGTGTGCAGAGCGATGGACTTCCTACAATCGGGACCATCACGCAGTTCAGGGCGGGGTCATTCACTTTCTGCTCCCAGTGCCTTTGGGCCTCACTCTGCCCCTGTTCTCCATCTCCTCGGGGGTCCAGGGCTCCCCATCCAGCTGCTGGTGGAAGTGATCGGGCCGGGCTCGGAAGGCGGCGCCGGGGGCCCAACGCCGCACTTCTCCCACGCTGTCCTTCGAAGGCTCCCAGAGGGCACCAAGCTAGGCCAGGTGCCCCTGGAGCCCAAGGGGCCCGCAGAGCGAGGCCTCCTCGCGGCCACACTCCCGCCCGCGATGCTGGCCGCCCCTGGCGCCTTCGCCCTGGAGCTCATAGGCCGGGACGCAGGCGGGCAGAGGCTGCACAGGGCGGCGCCCCAGCCCTGCACCGTGGCCCCGGTCCTTGTGGAGGTGAGCTGGGGAATGGAGGTGCGGCTGGGACATCAGACGGCCCCGCCCCTGACCAGCCCCCGCCCGCAGCTCAGCGGTCCCCCGGGTTTCTTAGTCCCGGGCAGCAAGGCCCCGCTCAGCCTCCGCGTCGCCTGCTTCTCCGACGCTCAGGACGTGGAGCTAAGGACATCAGTCCACCCGGGCTTCCCTCTCACCTCCAACCTGTCCAGGTGAGCGGCGCGCCCTGCCGCGGGTGGCTCCGGGCGGGGCGCGGCTCCTGCAAGCCCCGCCCCTGGCCCTCCCATTGGCCCGCCCGCCAGGGACTCCGCCCCCTCCGACCCGGGTGCGCCGCCCTTCTCAGGGCGCGCCTGGGGCTGAACGAGGTCGCCTGGGGGCGCCTGTGGCTGGAGGTCCCGGACGCCGCAGCCCCCGACTCCGTGGTGATGGTGACTGTGGCCGCCGTGCCTCAAGGGGCCGGCCCAGCTCCCGCGGCCCACGCCTTCCTGCGGCTCGTGGTGCTGGCCCCGGCCTCCCAGGTGAGACGCCCCAGCATCCCCCCGGGGGTCGGGGCCGGGCCGAGGGGGGCGCAGGCCCGGCCGCCGTCCGCGTCCGCGTCCCCGCAGGC